GTTTCATAAAGTATCCCTGGGGAATCAGCACTACTATCTCTGTGCAGTGAATAAGCATACCTCCCACTGCACAGGGGGATGGGGAATGCTTTGTATCAACTATATTTGGGGACGAGGTAAGCAAAAGACTGACTGGAGCTTTTCCTAGTTATTAGGATATTGGAATTGTAAGACTAGAAGTAGAATTATATGATCAGGAAGCCAAACTGTGACTCTCCAAATTCAAAGTTCTCCTTGTCCTGTTTCTCCTCTTTTTCCTCTTCTACTTCATTTTGCATTATTTGGGTTTGAATCCAAGGCCTCAGTCATACAAAGCTACATCCCTAGCACTCCTTTTGTTTTCTTTTAAAGAAAAACTTTTAAAGGAAAATTTGTATTCCTTAAACATTAAAATTATTATCTTTACTGGATATGTCCTCAGTATGGACCAAATAAAATTTCCAAGGTGGAGAAATGAGACAATCAAAGAACAATGATTGCCAGCCAGAATTGTTCACCTCATAGCACGTAAGAGAAAAACCTGTAGATCCTCTTGCATTGTGTCTACATGTGAATGTCAGTAACATGACATGAAAGGATCACATGACTGCTCCTCAAGAGGAAGCCTTGGAAGCAGGATCAATGGGAAAAAAATCAGTGAGAGATGAAATTATTTCTTGTCCACATAAAAATCATTACGATTGATAAAACAATATGCCATCGGAAAGGGTGAAAATGTGTATTTCATTATATGGAGATATTTGACTACAGCCACACATGTATCTAATTGGAGAGAAAACAGACTCCTAAGAAGAGGAGGAAAGTATATAAGCCTCACTCATTAGAATTTATAATATGATCGCACAGTGATTCACCATGTATTAACTTAGACATGACTCCATTGTTTAAAAATCCTTGTGACTAATAATAATCACAGCAACACACCACAGAGCCTTTTCAGAAGGCTCTAATATAATTCCTTAATTTTTTTCTCTTTCACAATAAATCAACTTTCTGGTCAGTAGCTTTCAGTTAATACTGCCCCGCCTAGAGACAGACTGACTCCCAGGCAGGAACAAGAAGCCAGCAGTGGGATGTCTGTTTGTGGGTAGCTTCATTCTAAGCTGACCCTATGCTTGCCTGCATGGGCAGGGCCTCGCTCTAACACCACAGCTGCAGCATCCATCCCCAGTCTGCCCTTCCTTTCCTTGGTGATCAGAAGTGAGGCACCCATATAAGAGTTACTATTACACATCACACTAAATAGAAGATGCGTGACTCTGGTGCTTTGCGGGTCTTAAGGGATTGGAGTTAATCACATACCCCAGGAGGTTGTCCTGAAGTCTACTTGTACCGTAACAATCTCTTGTTTAGATTTACACTCTCTTCCTCATTCCACACCACACAGCCCCAGACTATAATGATGTCTTGTAACACTAATCACTTATGAGCTCGTTCAGCACTGCCAAACTCTGACTTAGATGAGATCCAGTAACATGACACGAACCACCCCATTTCCTTCTCAGGGACTTTCCTCAAGGACTGAACACACCATCCAACAGTGGAGAGCCTGTCCTGAGGATTTTGTTTGAGCTGGCTACTATGTTAAGAGTTTTCATGCTCACTGTCTTGCTATAGTCTAGAAGGTAGTAATATCATGTTCACTCTGTAGATTAAAATCCTCTGGCTAACAGGAGTGACACACTCTTTCAAGAACACAAAACTATTAGATGAAGGTGTCTGATCTCTGTCATGTTACTGTGTGTTCTATGGTTTCCAAATTGAGCAGCACCCTGTAAAGATTCAAAATACAAGTAGAAATTCGGATGTATTGTATTATGACTAAAGCACTTTGATCTTTCATTTATAGACACACATAATTAGAGTTTGTGGGATAAATGACCTCAAACGAATTGGAGGAAGAGAGGTTACAAAAGAGAGGTTACAAACTTAAACCAGGTTCTCACCAATTAATCGTGGCAGGCAGATTGGTTCGTGTAGCTCTTCTGTTGGTTCTTAGGCTCACATATAAGGTTCAGATGCCATTCAGACTGAAGGCATATCAATGCTTATCCCGGGAGATTCTTTTTGCCTAGTCTGTTATGAAGGATGGATATGTTATCTGGACCCAGGTTTGCAGAGAGCAAGGTTTACCTTTGAGGGCCAAGTGGGATTCAGTACAAAGATACTTGTGAAATACTAGCATATAACTAACTAGGAAAAGGGAAAAAAAGTTCAAATTGTAGCACACATCAAACTGCTGCTAGTTTTAATTGATGTCAGTTTCTGACAGCAGTTGCAATATAAACACTCACAGTCATTAGACATTACTTGAAGTTACTTAAAACAAATTAAATCTACCCTGTTGAAAAGGGAAGGTTCACACATTTTGTTTCCTAATTGTGTTCCATTAGGGCAGAATTTAAAAATTTCTAGAAAACTAATTCTGTGAGACTTAATGTTCAAGATAGGGAAGTGGAAAGAATCAAACCTCTTAGCACTTAGTGTGTTTTGGAGACCATTATTAGCAAAAACCCATGTCCTCCTGGCAATCCAGTTAACTCCTCTTTTCCTAGGGTTTCCTCCCATGGGAGATGGATTTGGAACTTCTGTGGGAGTCGCAGTTAATAGAAAACTCAGATACAAGACTTGGCTCAACAGAGGCTCAGAAGAGAGTTGAATTTAGTGGGAAAAAACCTCCTTAAATGCACAGTACATTACCAATAAGCATTTTTCAAATTATTTTGGTGGTTCTTGGATTTGAACTTGAGCCTTCAGGCTTCCCAGGCAGATCACATTCCACCAACTCAAGCTGTGCATTTAACCACACTTTACTTAAGTTGATTTTTGGCTAGGATCTTGCTAGTTTTGCTAGTGGCTTGCCTCAGATTTTCCCCTACACCACTGAGATTACTGCTATATACATAGCTAATTTGTTGAGAAAAGATCTTGCTAACTTTTTGCCTGATCTGGCCTTGAACCATAGTTCTCCCGATACCAGCCTTTTAAGTAGCTGGGATTATAGGCATGAGCCACTTTTGTCATATTTATTAATTTTTAAAACCCATCCACTGATGTATGAGACACCTAGATAAGCTTCAAACCAAACAAAGCACTTACTGTTTATGTTTAAATCCAGCCTCAGACCATTGTGTGGTGGTTGTAGTTACAGAGTTCAGAACATCCCATCTGGCCTAATTAAATTCTGAATATAAAAACATTATCCTATACTAGCCACTAAGTTGGAAATGAGCTTTACAACGTGGGGGGAGGGGAGTTGGGGGAAGGAGGGAAAGCAGGAGAAAATGAGGGCGGGCATAAAGCCCTCATTATCTTACTTACATAACTGTAACCCTCTGTACATCACCTTTACAATAAAGAAATTTTAAAAAGAACATTATCCTATAATTAATAGCAATTTACCTTGGGTTTTCTGTGTGCTGGGCCCAGTACTAAGTCATACTAATTATTTATTTAATACTCTTTGCAACCTAGGAGACCATTACTATTATTATAACCATTATATCCATATCCATAGCAGAGGAGATCCAAGTTTAAAGAAATGAAACAAAGTAGCCAAACTCATGGAGTGTGTCAATTAGTTTGTGCTATGTCACAAAAATACCGGAAAATATAGGTCAGTACAGAAGACTTTGGTTATCAGGATGGGGCTCAGGTGGACAGTTTCACTGCTAGTCTTGCTGGGTTCACTCACCTTTTGAAAGTCATCTGCTGGGTCTCACTGGAACAGTGGTACATGTTCTGGGCCTCAATCTCTACGAAGGCTTGACAACCTAGTGATTCATCAAGATCAGGAAAAAGAAGGACATTAGCAGGAAATCAAAGTGGAGCCCTCTATTCAACTCAGCTTTAAAGGAGAGATCTCTTTCTGTGGTGCCATTTCCATAAGGATGTTTTGTCTCTTTCCTGACAACATATCATGACAATATCATGAGGTTAAACCTAATAGTCTTTTTCTCCAGCTTCATTAAAACCTCACAAACCAGAGAATTATCTTTCCATTCTAAATTCAAATTTAGATTTATTTTAGCTATCAATGTAAATCCAAAGATCATTTTCCTTGGCAAAAATAACATTACTAATCTGTATATTGCTCTAAGCCTCTCTTTCCTTTGTGGACAAATCAGGACCTTCAAAGAGCTATTCTTGAATGTTCTCCCTGAAGACTGCCTGTATTATGATTGTATTCTTATTTCTTGATGCACTCTCAAACCCTCTATGCCCACAACTACCTACTCTGTTAATTGTCTAGTTGAGGTTTTAAAAAATCCAGTAAGTATCATTACAAAGAAATTCCCATGTGCCCATTTCTGAATTCATGTAACCATGCTAAAGTACTGTTGGAATTCTTTAGACTTTTCTTATATGAGTGCCTGAATTATATTATTCATTCACTGAATCCATAAATTAAATATTAGCATTGCTAAAATTATAGACACAATGACTAATGCTTACAAGAAGATATGTAAAATAAAAGAAATTCAAAAAGTAGACATAACAGCTAAAACTGAAACCAAATGCTGAGAAGTATTTGGCCTTTTCATTTCTGCTTTATGATTCTTGGAGAATGGGAACTTTAGAACTCATCTTTTGTAAGAACCAGGGAGTCAGAGTAACTATAATGTTAAATATGTTAAGTCTGCTGTTGTTTTTAATGTACTGGGGGTAGGAGGAAAGGGAGTTGTTGGGGGAAGTGGGGAGATTAGGGATTGTAAGGTAAAAATAAAGGAGGGGGTAACAATGCTCCATGAAAATGTATTCATTACCTTATTCATGTAACTGTAACCTATCTGTACAGTATCTTTACAATAAAAATATATATTAAAATTTTTTCAATCCAGAGACCCTAAATTTTTTTTTTAAGTTACGGAACTGAGATTTTAATTTTTGTGACTAAAACATTGCTCTCAGAGTAACTTTTAGATTACTAATTAGTACTACATGTCTCCCCTTCCACTATTCAATTAGATGGTAATGTTCTATTTTATGTTGTACTGCAGAAATGGCCGTCATTTGAGATATTGAAGACAGCTGTGACCTAATTGACATCACCGACAAAGACCTGCACATCTTGGGATATATGTTTACTGTGATAAAGTTTTAATTTTTTTTGTAAGATAAAATACTATATATATTGGGGCAGGAGGATTGAGCTAATGGGTCTGATTGGCTTTTCATTGCTTCTGAAAATCCACTGTTCATCCCTCACCATGCTTTTCTCTTGCTCAGTGCTTAGGAGGTTCACTTGTAAGAAATGCATCAATGCCACTCCCATCTTGATTTCCTGATAAAGAAGATCCAGATGGGCTCTGGTGGCTCACACCTGTAATCCTAGTTACTCAGGAGGCTGAGGTCTGAGGATCATGGTTTCCAGCCCAGGAAGGAAATTCCATGAGCCTCTTCTCTCTAATAAACTACCAGAAAACAAAACAAAACAAAACAAAACAGAAGTGGCTCTGTGACTCAAGTGGTAGGGTGCTTACCTTGAGCTGAAGAGCTGAGGGACAGTGCCTAGGCCCATGTTCAAGCACCAAGACCAACAAAATAAATAAATAAATAGAGAGATAGATGGATAAAGAAAGAAAGAAAGAAGATCCGGTTAACACTGGAGTTTCAGGAAGTAGAGGTATGGTTCAAATGCTACAGTATCATATTTGATCAAGAAAGCTAAGAGAGAACTCAAGGCCCTAACTTCAAGTCCAGTATTGGTGCGCATGCACACACACACACACACACACACACACACACACACACACACACACATATTATCTGATTTTCAGACAAATAATGGATGAGATTTTTTAGAATAAAACATCTCCCAAATATTTCATGGGATAAATTTATCCTAAAATTTATGTATTGTTTATCTAAATTTCAGGCTTACTTGTGTGTTCTGTATATTTAATTAGCTAAATCTGGAAACCCTCCTCTGCTACCACCTGGATTCTGGCTGAATTCCACTATTGGGGAACTCCAGGAGAAGACTGCAGTGATATAGGAGAAAGAGAAAGTTCCAAATGTTTATCCTCCTGACTCTGTGCAAGATCACCTTCTCCCAGCTTGGCTGCAGCTCTCTGCTGCTCACAGAGACTTCCTCTACAAAACTGTCACCCTCTAGGTTCCTTGGTCATGTAAGCTGGCAACGGTTCTTGTGAGTAAATAAGCCTGTGCTACTGGATCTCTCTTAAGATCCTTTCATAGCTTGCTCATTGAAAATGGTCTCCTTGACAATTAACCCTCTTTTGATTATCCTACTGAAGGAATCCTAACAAGACCTAATCTAAGGTACTTTGAAGAAATGAATTCTGTTCTAGAATAAAAGGTGAACGAAATTTAACCCAAATAGATTCTTCTTTGGTCAAATGCCTTTCTTCTCTGTGGATTGATTGGATTCTTGTAATAGTTAGAGAAAAGGAAGTCTCTGTCCTCATAGAACTTATGATAAAATAAAGCCATTGAGTGGAAAGAAAACTATCTTTAGTTTGCTACTGTTTCTGCTGTTTTATGTACATTTTCTCAAGTGTTTTTTATGAATCTTTTTCAAGTAATTCTCATAATAGTTCAGTGAAGAAGGTGTTCACAACCCACAAAGGAGAGAAAATGAAGCTCAGAAAAGTTACAGGGAATTTTAAGTATCATTCCTAAAGTCTCAATACCAAAGCATGGCAATCCCATAGCTCTAATGAAGTTCCCATGCAAGTCACTCTTCTAGCAACATTTTCTGGGCATATACCACGAGCCAGGCATTATTATGGCACTCTCTATGTATTTATTAACTTCATTTTACCCTAAATCCCTGTGAGATGCTACAAGTATTAACATGATATTATAGCTAGGAATACTGAAACAGGCAGGAAGCTGTGGGGCCAGCATTTGAAGCATACGGATGGGCTTATGTTACTGTGCAGCACTCTCATGCCTTGTCCCAAGAAGAGGCTGTCACTGGTCTTGGGGCCCAACCCCAAGACCAATGTGAGATGAGTGAACTTACATGTACTTCTGGAGACATGGTCTAGATGATGCTGGAAAAGGACTCTGCTCTTATGCCCAGTGATTTGCTGGTGGACCTTGTACTGAAAGTTCCAGAAATTTGTCTGCCTAGGAGATGGGATTCCCCTGTGTGTTATGTTTGCATCATTTTGAACAAAATCTCTGATAACCATCTTCAGGGAGGAGGCATTTACTTAGATTTGTGATATTAGTAAATCATAGTGGAAAGAGTGGGGTGTGGGATAGCTGTTCAACTCATGTCAGCCAGGAAGTAGAGAGGAGAGAAGAGAAGATTGATGACCAGGCACAACCTTCCAAGGCATGTATACAATGACCTTCTTCCTTTAGTTAGGTCCCACATCCTAAAGTTACAATGCTTTCCAATGATGCCACCAACTAGGGACTAAATTTCACACAGGAATCTATGTGTTATGTGTTTTCTACTTTTTCTGTCTTTCTTTTCTTTTTGTTCTGGCAGAACTGGGGACTGAACTCAGGGCCTTACTACTTGCAAAGCACACATGCACTTGAGCCATACCTCCAACCCCTTTCAACATTGGTGATTTTCAAGGGATGGTTTTGCTCAAGTCAGCCTGGGCTATGATCCTCCTTTGATTCTTGTCACCAGGGATTATGGGATCATGCCTCTGAGCAAAGCCTTTACATATCCCCTGTAGCTGGGACTATGACTGCTGACCACCACACCTCACTGTTGGAGTCTGGAAAAGTTTTATATCCAGGGTGACTTCAACCACAATCCTCCAATCTCCACCACCCAAGTATCTAGGATTATAAGCTTGGGCTATTGTGCTTGGCTCTATGTATTGAACCTCATAGATAAGCCATAAAATCTGGTCTAAAAAGCAGCACAGCTGAAAGCCTCATTTTCTACTCATTCATTCGAACCTTGTATAGATGGGCTAGTACCAGAAAGATTTCACAGTCAATGCTTATTTCTCAAAATTTGGCTGTAGCAGGTTTTATAACCATCTCTGGAGCTATAAGAACTGTTAGGATATAGAAACCTTGACTTCTGGAACTACATCTACTCCTATTCCTAGCATAGAAAGAGCATTTTTTTTCTCCTATTAACATGTGACAATACAAGGAAGGCAGTTAGGAGAGAGAAAAAGAGAATCATGTAAGAAAGGTTGATGGAGACATTTTTTAAATTAGGTATGTGATCATTTGAAGTGTCCCCCAAACTCACTTTGAAGTTTAGTTACTTGTGTAATATATTAAGAAATGGAGCTTTTATTACTAGCACAACTATGTTCATTGCAGTATTACTTACCATAGCTAAGATATGGAACCAACACAGATGCCCCTCAATAGATGAATGAATCAAGGAAATGTGGTAATATATATATATATATATATATATATATATATGAATTCTATGCTGCCATCAGAAAGAATGGCATTACCCCATTTGAAAGAAAATGGAAAGATTTAGAAAAAATCGTATTAAGTAAACGGACCCAGAAAAACATGGGCTCCATGGTTTCCCTCATTTGTAATAATTAGTATATGTCTAGGACAGTCCTAGCAGAGATCACAATAGCTCAATAGCTATGTGCATATGATCATATAAAATGATGCTAATTGAAATGAACTCCAAGATATTGAAAGAAGTGTTATTTTAAATATATTTTGTGAAGTTATATCTTTTATCTTTCATTTTTTTTCCTTTGGTTTATCCCCTGTTGTCACTGTTTTTGATTCTGGTACCCTGTGTCTTGGTTAGATATTTTTATCTGATTTGAGGAAGGGAAGGGGAATAACAAAATTGTGAGACAAAGGACACTATGTTGGAAATGAACTTTACAACTCGTGGGAGAGGGGATTCAGCAGTGGAGGAAAGTATGAGAAAAAGAGGGAGGGGTAACACGGTTTCAAAAGAAATGTACTCATTACCTTACTGTAACCCCTTTGTACGTTACCTTTATAACAAAATAAAATTAAATAAAAAAATAAATGGGGCTTTTAGAAGATGGTTAGAGTGAGACAGACGAATCCTCACAGATGGATTAGTACCATTTTTGTGGAAGGGGTTGGTTATAATGAGGGTTGTTACTGTAAGATTGACTTCCTTTCCTTACCCTGATGTTTCACAGGACTCACTTTCTCTTTCTCACCGTGGCTAACTAGCAGGAAGGCCCTCTCCAGGAGCAGTCCCTCAGGCCAAGTCTTCGTCGTCTTTAGAACTACAAGTTAAATAACTTGTACTGCTCATAAATTACCTAATCTGTAATATTCTGTTACAAAAGCAAAAAAAAAATCAGACTGAGACAGAAATTATTGCTACTTTTGCATAGCGTAATTTTCTCCATGAAAAGCAGAAGAAAACTAATTTAAAGACAATTACTGTGCATTAGAGAGTTCAACTTGGTGGTTGGCTGGAACATTAAAGTGGAAATAATATTCAGTGTATTCATGTGAAAAGGGAACTGGGAAAACTGAGATGATGGATGGGGTTGGGAGGGATGGGGGAACATGATGAAAAGAATGACATTGATCAAGATACACTGAATTCAGAAACTGACAGGTTGCATTGAAACCTCATTTGCACAAGTACTTAAAGATAAAAATAAAAATAATAATAACAGAACCAGCTTTCATTTTTACCTGCACTGAGATATATAAGCAAAAAGGTTACCATTCACATAGCCTGAAGAACATTTAAAAAAAAATACTCGAAGATAGGCTTTATGTGATTGTGCAGCACTTATCCACCATGAAAGACATGAATCAAACAACAAAAGCTACTACTTGTCTAATTCATATGCAAAGGATCCAGTCTGCAATTGCTAAATCAGGAAACAGGATAGACCGTGAGGTTTTAATGGTAGATGGTAGGAGGCGTCATATCTGGGTGGGATGACATTCATTGATAACAATTTTATATGCATTTAAAATTGTATATCTCTCCTCTGATGCTTGAAATTTGGGCAAGTTTGAAACTGGACAAATGAGTGTACCTTCCTGAGCTTTCATTTCCTCATCTTTAAAATGTCAGGTACCCCATGTGGTTATCCAAATGACCAATACAATTCTCTATCAGGTGGGGCATTGTGGCTCAAGCCTGTAATCCTAGAGACTTGGAAGACAAAAATAGATGAATCATAGTTTGAGATCAGGTAGAGTATAAAGAATGTAAGACTCCTTCTTAGTCAATGGCTGGGCACAGTCACGCCCATCTGTCAACCTCAGCATGGTGAGAAAGCACACAAAGTAGAAAGATGACAGCCCAGGCTTGCCTGGACATAAAGAGAGACACCAACTTAGAAATAACCAAAGTAAAAAGAGGCTGGAAGTGTGACTCATGTGATAGAATGCCTGCCTAGCAAATGGGAGGCTCTTCATACAATCCCCAGAAATGCTCCCTTGCAAAGCATAATGTGACAGAGTTTACACAGGTCCTTTGTGAGTGAAGCTGGACTTGTCAGGAGTCATGTTTCGGAAGAAGGCACTTGGACAGGCAACACTGACAACTCCTTAGTTATGGCTGGATCTCTGTGGCAGGCCACAGTGATGCCAGCTTCAGGCTGGGCACTCTGACACTCCCAGAATGGCCTGGATACGACATCTTACTAAATTCAAAGACTGCCTCAAGGGTCTGCGTGCCCTGATGTATTTTCAACAATGACAAGTGTGGAGCAACCCGCAGCTCATTCTTCTCCCCCCTGGAGCTTTAAAAAGGAAATGACGACCCTCCACAAAGTCATCTAGTTCAGTAAAACATCTCAGAGGAGTGTGATTTCATAGGCACGTACTTTTAACCTTGATGCAGGATGGGGAAGAAAGGGGGGGCGGGGGCGGAGAATCTGCTGCTGTGCACAGCGAATCTGATTAAAATTTACAGGGCACCAAAACTGTGTTAGCCCCACCCCATCCACTGTCCTCATTCCTAGTTCAAGATCTGGGATTACTGTAGTGAGCACTTCCTCAGAGTCTGTCATGAAAAAGCAGCTATCCCTGGAGGCAAACAAGAAAAAAAAAATAGAGCACATCAAGCGCAGGAGTGCTCCAAATTAGTCTTGAAGCTTAGAACTGATGATGTAAATTGCCTCGGTAGGACCACCTAACGGGAGCTTTCTTTGGAAAGTCTATTTTTAGCTCAGCGCCTAAAAGC